AAACTAAAAGACACCACAAAACTCCAATTTTGATTTCAGGCTGTCTTCAGTTCACCAAAATTAAGTCTAATTTACTGATTGGGAATGTTAGACACAGTCAGAGTGTCCCTTCAACAGCTACACAACAAATTCAAAAACCTCATTACACAACACAGAGTGAGCGGATGTAAATCTGACAAGATCTTATTTTCCAAAACCGAAATGTCAAAGCAAATTTGACATCTGCTATTATTATTTGTATAAAATGACACTTATTTATTGCAATGTTCTGCTCCAGCTTTCAGCGATCCTCAGTGTCCCAGAAATAGATAGATATTCATTTGAATTTCATATACCCAAAGATGGTCTTGATTCGCTGGCACAACATTGTGACTGGGCTCAAAATCGAAATAAAAATGTAAATGTAGTGGCAAAAAAAGAGGGAGTCATGATGGGATATAGAGTGAAAGAAAGTAATTGGACTTTAACCGTGGCATTTATATCCCTCAACTAAATCCAAATCTAATTTGACCAAGGCTAAAAAAGACTGACAGCGTTCATCAGAAAAAGTTCCTTCAGCTGGCTGGAAACTGTCTTGTTGTTATGGATACTGTGTGTGTAAGGCCGCTCCAATAAGGTGACTGACAGACATGGGTGTAAGTCATTCATTAGACTTGAGGGAAGAAAGACAAAATGCTGTCCAAGTCCATCAAATCGATGAGAGCAGTCCATCCATCAGAACTATAAGGGAATGCTGGGATGCAGAAGACAAGGCTCCCGCCACAGGTTTTGACATCATGCTTAAGTTGCTGTATCAAGGGTCAAATTTATATAGATTTTCAAATGTTCAAATTAAATGAATTAATTGGCTCATAATGCCAATCGGGCCACCCTGCAGTCCTCACATCTGTCCCGTAAAACAGTGTCTGCCACAGTCTTTTTTATTCTCTTTCATTGTAGATAACTGCCAACAAGTCTGGGCACTACAACATGTCTTGAGATCCTGGATTTGTAATAGCGGAGGTGTTCCATTACATCTTACACTCCTATCTAGCTCAAGAGTCTTCAGCAGGGAGTCTGTGACACCCGAACACCATGTCCTAACTACACGCGGCGCAACGCTGCGACACACCATAAAAGGTATCGTTTCCATGTTAATCAGAGTTTTTGTCCTAACCAGCCACGACGGCGACACGCAAAGTTCCTATTTTAGAAACGGTTTCTATTTCTGTGACGTCGCGGCTGGAACAACAACATAATAACTATGACAATGATAATCTCAGGTACTGATTATGTGCTTTATTTAATGTTAAAAGTGTCTGACATGAGTTTGAATATCATTTTGCGTGACCTTTATAGCCATATTGAAAGCAACAACCGATAGTTTACCTCAGATTTCAAAAATAAATTAAAGCAATTATTGTCGCGTCGTGTTTGGTGTAAGCAAGGGGTCCATAGTGGTACTGCAACTTTGTTTTTTTTTTGGGAAGCCAATGCAAAAATCCATGAAACAAACTTCATTTCAAGTAAAACTAAATAACTCATTGTTAATCTGACATTAAAATAATTTAAATAAAATTAAAATGACATATTTTAATATACTTTAAATGTATCAGCATTTTAATAATAATAAATTATATACACTACCGAAAAAGTTTAGGCCCGGTTAGATTTTATTTAATGTTTCTTATGCTCACCAAGGTTGCATTTATTTGTTCAAAAAACAGTGAAAAACAAATGTTGTTAAATATTGTTTAAAATCATTTAAACATTACTTTAAAATAACAATTTTCTATTCTAACATTTTAAATGTAATTTATTGCTTTGATGGCAAAGTTGAGAGCATTTCATTAGACAACAAATTTGTACTAAACCTGGAGCAAGAGATGACAGCATTAATATTTTAGTTCATTTTCCAGGAAGAGATTGGACATTTTCAATGCGCATATATATCTGCTAAAAGTTTTTGGTGTACAGATGGCCTCAAACTAAAAGACACCACAAAACTCCAATTTTGATTTCAGGCTGTCTTCAGTTCACCAAAATTAAGTCTAATTTACTGATTGGGAATGTTAGACACAGTCAGAGTGTCCCTTCAACAGCTACACAACAAATTCAAAAACCTCATTACACAACACAGAGTGAGCGGATGTAAATCTGACAAGATCTTATTTTCCAAAACCGAAATGTCAAAGCAAATTTGACATCTGCTATTATTATTTGTATAAAATGACACTTATTTATTGCAATGTTCTGCTCCAGCTTTCAGCGATCCTCAGTGTCCCAGAAATAGATAGATATTCATTTGAATTTCATATACCCAAAGATGGTCTTGATTCGCTGGCACAACATTGTGACTGGGCTCAAAATCGAAATAAAAATGTAAATGTAGTGGCAAAAAAAGAGGGAGTCATGATGGGATATAGAGTGAAAGAAAGTAATTGGACTTTAACCGTGGCATTTATATCCCTCAACTAAATCCAAATCTAATTTGACCAAGGCTAAAAAAGACTGACAGCGTTCATCAGAAAAAGTTCCTTCAGCTGGCTGGAAACTGTCTTGTTGTTATGGATACTGTGTGTGTAAGGCCGCTCCAATAAGGTGACTGACAGACATGGGTGTAAGTCATTCATTAGACTTGAGGGAAGAAAGACAAAATGCTGTCCAAGTCCATCAAATCGATGAGAGCAGTCCATCCATCAGAACTATAAGGGAATGCTGGGATGCAGAAGACAAGGCTCCCGCCACAGGTTTTGACATCATGCTTAAGTTGCTGTATCAAGGGTCAAATTTATATAGATTTTCAAATGTTCAAATTAAATGAATTAATTGGCTCATAATGCCAATCGGGCCACCCTGCAGTCCTCACATCTGTCCCGTAAAACAGTGTCTGCCACAGTCTTTTTTATTCTCTTTCATTGTAGATAACTGCCAACAAGTCTGGGCACTACAACATGTCTTGAGATCCTGGATTTGTAATAGCGGAGGTGTTCCATTACATCTTACACTCCTATCTAGCTCAAGAGTCTTCAGCAGGGAGTCTGTGACACCCGAACACCATGTCCTAACTACACGCGGCGCAACGCTGCGACACACCATAAAAGGTATCGTTTCCATGTTAATCAGAGTTTTTGTCCTAACCAGCCACGACGGCGACACGCAAAGTTCCTATTTTAGAAACGGTTTCTATTTCTGTGACGTCGCGGCTGGAACAACAACATAATAACTATGACAATGATAATCTCAGGTACTGATTATGTGCTTTATTTAATGTTAAAAGTGTCTGACATGAGTTTGAATATCATTTTGCGTGACCTTTATAGCCATATTGAAAGCAACAACCGATAGTTTACCTCAGATTTCAAAAATAAATTAAAGCAATTATTGTCGCGTCGTGTTTGGTGTAAGCAAGGGGTCCATAGTGGTACTGCAACTTTGTTTTTTTTTTGGGAAGCCAATGCAAAAATCCATGAAACTTCATTTCAAGTAAAAAGAAATAACTCATTGTTAATCTGACATTAAAATAATTTAAATAAAATTAAAATGACATATTTTAATATACTTTAAATGTATCAGCATTTTAATAATAATAAATTATATACACTACCGAAAAAGTTTAGGCCCGGTTAGATTTTATTTAATGTTTCTTATGCTCACCAAGGTTGCATTTATTTGTTCAAAAAACAGTGAAAAACAAATGTTGTTAAATATTGTTTAAAATCATTTAAACATTACTTTAAAATAAAAATTTTCTATTCTAACATTTTAAATGTAATTTATTGCTTTGATGGCAAAGTTGAATTTTTAGCAGACATTACTCCAGTTTTCAGTGTCACATGATCCTTCAGAAATGGGTTACGAGTCCGACTCTCTAACCATTAGGCCACGACTTCCCCACCATATGCTGATTTGTTCCTCAAGAAACATTTTTACTTATTATCAATGTTGTAAACAGTTGTGCTGCTTAATGTTTTTGTGGAAACCATGATACATTATTTTTTTCAGGATTCTTTTAATGAATAGAAAATTCTAAAGAACAGCATTTATTTAAAATATGTATTTTTTTGTAACATTATAAATATCTTTACTCTCACTTTTGATCAGTGTCCTTGCTAAATAAAAGAATTAACTTCTTAAAATGAAATTAAAATTCTTAAAATTATATCTTAACTTACCCTGAACAAACGGTAGAATATAATACATTAATATGAACAATTAACGCTCAGTTTTTTTTACATTATTTAACTGAGACTCATCTCTATTAACCAAAGGATGAAAAACGGCTAACAGTGCTTACGCCACTTCAGTTCACATCAGTCTAATGTTCCCTCCTCACAGTGATTGAATAAATGGTTAAGCTAAAACCAGGCCTAAAATAATTATGGCTGAGGGAATGAGGTTTGCGGTGGTTGACACTGTGAATGTGCTCTTCTGAAATGATCAGACTGCTTTGCCTTTCATGTCGGGAGCCTTACCGTACTGTGTTCGCCGCTCTGCGTGAAGGTCTTCTCAAAAGGCATTTCATCCTTTACCCAGCTGTAGGAGACAAGGAAGCCCACTATAGGTGGGTGGTAGACAGCTGACGGTCTGTCCCAGGTCAACACAAGTGCAGTTCTGTTCAGAAGGTGGACCTTCATGTTGTCAGGGATGCTGCTGCAGACTGGATGGAGAAAGGAGAAGCAGAGTGATGAGATGAGACTGATAAAAACAAGGAGGAAGAAGGTACAGTTGTTCTCATTTGATTAGGGATCTGTGACTGGAGATAAATGGGTGGAATTATGGCTCTTCTGCAGTGGGAGCGGAGCCAGATCTCAGCCGCACAGGTCCACGACTGCAGCCCCCAGGTGAAGCTAAATCTTTTATTGCTGTCTGACTCACCAAAGCGTTCGCACTAGAAACTGCTTCAAAGTGGAAAATAATACATGAGTTCATCTCAATCTGCCTCCAGGCTTTCAAACAGCCTTGCAGTGAGCGCACGCATGCGCACGCACGCAAGCCTGAGTGTGTGTGTGTGTGTGTGTAATACTCAGTGGTGGAAAAATACACCAATCTTGCACATCAGTTAAAATGCAGATACAACGATGAAAAATGAATGCAGTAAAAAACACACTAGCATTTAAAAGTTTGGGGTCGGAAAGATTTTTACAAATGTTTTTGAAAGAAGTCTCTTGTGCTCACAAAGGCTACATTTATTTGATCAAAAATACAGTTAAAACAGTAACATTGTGAAATATCATTACATTTAAAAAATGTATTCATGTGATGGAAAAGCTGAATTTTTAGCAGCCTTCAGTGATACATGACCCTTCCGAAATCATTCTCATCTGATTTGTTGCTCAATAAATATTTATTCTTATTATTATCAATATTTATTATTATTATTATCGGGAACAACCGGAAACAGTGCAGTTTAATATTTTTGTGGAAAACTGGTACATTTTTTTCAGGGTTCTTTGATGAAGAGAAAGTACAAAAAAAACAGCATTTATTTAAAATAGAAATCTTTTGTAACAACGTTTTTACTGTCACTTTTGACCAATGTAATGCATCCTTGCTGAATATTTTTTTTTTAAGTAACTTTTAAATGGTAGTGTAAGAGTCCTGCTTTTACATATCACACTTGAGCATTTATTCAAGTAGATATGATATAAAAATTTATTTAATTACACGATTTTCAGATCAATTAAATCACAATTAAATGCATATAGCAATATTTACTAAGAAAAGCCCTTCTTACCCATTCCACGTTACATAACTTAAAATATACAAATCCTTATAACATAATTTATGTAAGGTAAAGCAGGTATGATTAAATGTATAAACGTGCTATTTTAATTAAATGCAATTAATATGTTAAATTGATAGCCCTAGAACTGATATTTAAGGTCTATGCTATTTTTTACAATTCCACTGCAAAATAACAGATAAGATAAACTAATAAAACTAATAATAATAATACTACATATAAAATAAATAATAATAAATAAAATAAAAATATAAATAGTAATTAGGTAAATATAATTTGCTAATGTTGGTTAGTGGTAGTACTATTGATCTAATTCGTGTTTTTGAGTGTAGGGAGAAGCAAAGGTATCAGAGGAGAACCATTAGGAGTCTTATCACACACAAATAAAACACATCTCTTCATGTTGTTTCAATGGCTATTGTTTTCAACTTCCTTGTTACAGTGACCTCATTGTTGGTGCTTTTTTGATATCACAGACATTACAAACATAGTTTTGCAGCAAAAAATAATCCTTATCAAATGTGCCCTGATCAGGCTTTCTAGCAGGTTTTTTTTAGCTATTCAACCCCTCCGAATGTGACACTGCTCTGTGATGTGACACAATCACGATTCATGGCCAATCAGAATATATTGTTGCATGTCAGATCTGAACCAGCGGCACCCACATAAGCAGCTCAAGATTACCTGGAGTACATGCATTAATCAAACTCATGCTTTTCCTATTAAATTAATACCTTTTTAAACTGAGTAAAAAAAAGAGTTGTTTTTAACAACGACTACAGAACCGCTGAAAAGTCAAACAGAAATAATTGCACGATTGACGTCACTTATCACACAAATCATTCAGTGGGACGTGTTCTTGTCAAGCTGGGCGGACTGCATAAGCGGCGCTTGATAAGGTCATTATGCCGAAAGCCTCTACTCTTAATGTGTGCAGGGCTCCAGACAAAAAAATCAAGTAAGGAGCCATTGGCTCCAATATAGCGGTCGACCGATATTGTTTTTTTTGACAGCCGATGCCGATATCTTGGAAAGCAGGGTGGCCGATGGCCGATATAAAGCCGATATAATTGTATTTATTTTCATTAATATTTAAGAAACTTGAAATTGAATCATTTGAAAATGGTTTAAAAAATAAATTTGTAAAATAAACATACTTATACTTTAGATGACAAAGTATTTTTCACAAATAAATAAATATTTAATAAAAATCTAATTGAATAGGAAGTAAACACTGCAACAAACAGGGCACTCAGTATTCTGGGAAGTTTGTGTGCATTGGGAATCATATTTTTTCAAATAAAGCCAAGGTAACACTCATTTTACATACAGCACACAGTGAAAATGACATGAATATGACAGTGGGCAAATGGCATAAAGCACAGCATAATTTGAAATCACAAATTTAATGTTTAAAGCATTAAATTTACACGGACCGACTGTCACGCAGAGAACACGCGATCATGCAGGTCACATGCACACTTCACAAGATCTCACAACTGGAAGCATCACTTGGCCACTGAGTGTAGTTTGGGCTCCTCCTCAATGCATCCTGTAAATGTTGTCATACAATCTTAAAAATAAAGGTTCTTCAAGATGCCATGTAGTTTTGCTGTGAAGAACCTTTTAAGCACCTTTATTTTTAAGAGTGTATGTCTTTCACACGTTCAGTCTGTTTTTCTTAATTAGTAAAATTCAGTTTTATAGGAGGAGTTGAATCATCTAGACAACAGGTTAAGTAAAAATATTAATATGCAATAGCGCATTAATATAGCAAAATGCTCCTCTTTATAGTTCTTTTTCTAGCTGACTGATGAGCTTAGGGACACCGAATGGTTATTCTGAGGTAAATGTAGCCTATATTACGTTGCAATGTTTACAAGCTTTACACGTTTTCCGCAGTTTGAAACACTGAATGAGCTTTTACATGAGACATTTCAGTAAGTTGTACTGTAGGCTCTCTTAAAAAATATTAATATGCAATAGCGCATAAATATAGCAAAACGCTCCTCTTTATAGTTGTTTTTCTAGCTGATTGATGAGCTTATAGACGCTGAATGGTTATTCTTCTGAGGTAAATGTATATTACGTTGCAATGTTTACAAGCTTTACAATATACACGCAGCTGACAGCTGTACCTGTTGTAGTTTGTTCAAGTTGTGCACGAAATAGACGCTGTTTTCTGCACTTTCACTTCGCATGTCTCCGTCATTTCGAGTCTCGCGCTGCACAACTGAGCTGTGTTTAGCAGGTGTGCGACAATGCTGCTGTGCGGCAGAGATGAGGACTGTTTGAAACTCTTTTTTCCACTAAAACTTTGATGCGCATCGTCTCAGTTTAATATGTGAACATAACAAAAGATGTGATCGCAAAACAATCAGGAAAAAAGGCATTACATGCAAATTTTTAAGTTATAACATGTAAATCTATATAGTCGCCAGTGGCGACCTCAGCAAAAACTCGCAAATTAATATTTTTGGTCGCAAATGCGACCGTTTTAGTCGCAGTCTGGAGCCTGGTGTGTATCAGCATTAGCGACCTGTCAACAAGCCTGTGATAAACACGTCTATAAAACGAGAGGCAGATCGCAAGAACACAAGAAGTGAAACGAGGACGAGGGGGTGATTAGTGAAAGGGCATCTGCTGTGGAAGTCGGCCTTGAGAGCTCTGTTAGCACGGGTGACTCCGCGAGAGCCCATTATTTTCATCAGTTCAATCATCAGCATGCTAATGACTGCCGCCATTACTGTCCGGCAGAGATAACACAGAGTCTGATGATTCAAATTAACTCTATTCTCATGGCGGTTCTTTGGGTTATGTAGTCAACAAGCTAAGATGTCAGCACTGGGTATAGCGACAGTAACGCTCTGTACGTATATCACATAGCACTGTATGGTTTAAAAATGAACTATTCATTATTTATTTTTCAACAAATGGTCAGTAAAAGGAGTCGTTTGTCCTCCAGAAAATGTAATAATTATATGTTCTAAATTTGTAATATTTTGTACAAAGTTTATATGAGCTTTGTATCTTTTTGCAACCCACTTAATGAAGTAAATATAATTAAAAGCCCAGAGGTTGTGTGCTATTGTTATTTTAAAGCTGAATTTAGACATCAAATTTAATAATTAAATATTAAATTAATAAATGAATACCGTTAATGCTGTACCAAACCGTGACATCAAAACTGTCATGTTTTTGTACCGTTACACCCCTAATATATATACAGTATATATATATATATATATATATAATTAAGTAATTAAATATTTTCTAAATTTAATTTAATTTTGTAGTTATTGATAAAGTTATTTTGAAGTTTTTGAATTTAATTTCCATTAAAAAAAAAAACATTTTTGACAATAAAGGTTGACAAGGCAATCATTCTTACAATTTATGTAAAAATGTAGACATTGGATTGGTTTTGATTGCTACATAACAATATCATATCAAACTAATCTGAGCATATCTAATAATTCTCACAACAAAAACATTGCATTTGTGCTAATTCTTTAAAAGCAAGCAGTCAAAAGTGTACCCTAACTCAAGGAAAACACCATGGAAGAAAGCATTTGAAACCGAAAAGAAAACAGAAACAGAACAAAAAATAAGCACTATGATAAAATGATGCATTATTGCAAAGGGTTTTCACAACCGCTTGCTTTCGAAAACGCCTGAACTGCTATTTGGCCACACAGTGTTCATTTGTACGAGTTTATTTTTAGAGGGAATATTAATGATGATTATTCCACCTTTCGGCTGTGTTGCATCACTCCCGACTTCATCACAACCAATAGCAATCAATTCCCTCAGCCGGAGAGGAAAACAACGCTATCATTAACACACACACAGTACAGCGTCCCCCAGTTACTGGCTCGGATCAGAGCGCTGCGCTGCTGTAGTCACTGCATTAATAAATCCTATTTATTCAGTCTGTCTCAAGAGCAATGGATATCCCAAAAACAACCAGCTTTGCACTTCATGCATGAGACGAATGAGAAGAAACCCAAACAAGACGTCTATGAAGTACAAAACTGTACTACAGTTTTAGCCAAGAGAAATAACCACAGTTCCAGTGGTTTACATTAGGGCTGTGCGATATGGACAAAAAAAACCTATTGTGATTTCTTTGATCAATTTTGCAATTTCGATTTTAATCACAATTTTGACACAGACATGCTTTACAGTCATAAATGCATTCAGTGTGAATTTGAAACATATTTCCAAAAGAAAACCAATTAGAGCTTTACCAAAAAGCTGTAACATGTCTCTAGAACAGACATAAGGCAAAATAATCACTAAGTAAAGGTGTAACAAAATGTCATATAGACATAGTGTCAATAGACATATGGCAGAAAAAAAAAAAAAATCCCGTGTCCAGGGATTTTTTTTGCCATGCATTGGTCATAGAGCTCTTTGTGGCATTGCCTCAGATGTTGAACTAGATTTGTCGCGTCAAGTTTCCGTGCGGAAACGATCGCAGCATGACTGCTGCAGACGCACCGCTCCTGGAGCGCACTGTCGGACCACAATTGCGAGCAGTGTGAACGCTCTGATCCGTTAACATGGGCGCAGAAAAAATACGCACCACAGACGAAGTGTGTGAACCTGGCGTTACTATGTTTGTATGCCCGCCCGGTCTGTTCTGTTCTCGTGCTCCATTTAGGCGCGCTGCATTCTGATTGGTGCGGATAGCATACTGCGGGAGGTCGGGGGTGCCGAAAAATCGTGCTATAAAGCGATTTAGAAATCGCGCAAGCTCAAATCGCGATTTTATGACGATTCCGATTAATCGCACAGCCCTAGTTTACATTCATAAAGACTGTTTCCTGAAATGGACATTGTTACTATTTCCTAATGATAGGATCATTTTGAAGACTATGGAAGTCTATGTTGTATCGTTAGTATTATCATAGGAATAAAAAGAAAACATTCTTCTTGCTTCTTCTTTGATTGGTCAGGCCAGTTTTGGGAAGGAAGCCATCATACCTCGAGAAGTTTCTGAGTCTGCAGCGCTGGCCATGCTGTCTGTCATGAGGTCGGGCATCCAAGCATCCATCAGAGCCGATTTGAAGATTTGCCGGCTGTCGAGATCCTGAGTGGGCCGATGGTTATTCCTCAGGTAATCCACGGACTTCACATGATCCTGCTGCTCTGTGGTGAAGATGGAGTAGAAATCAATTTTGCTATTTCGATTTTAATCACGATTTTGACACAGACATGCTTTACAGTCATTAATGCATTCAGTGTGAATTTGAAACATATTTCCAAAAGAAAACCAATTAGAGCTTTATCAAGAAGCTGTAACATGTCTCTAGAACAGACATAAGGCAAAATAATCACTAGGTAAAGGTGTAACAAAATGTCTCTAGAATAGACATGGCAGAAAATTTTTTTTTTTTGCCATGCATTGGTCATAGAGCTCTTTGTGGCGTTGCCTCAGATGTTGAACTAGATTTGTTGCGCCAAGTTCACACGTACTCCGTCTGCAGCGCATATACAGTATGTGTATGCGGTGCAGAAGCAGCACGGACTCATTTTGCTTTCGCACAGGACGCGTTTGCAGTCCGCTCCTGATCCGCGGCTGTTTACCACAAACACAACATTTATCCATTATTTTGATTTCAAATCCAAACGTTGTTTCTGAAAATGCTTTTTCAGCATTGTGATTCTCTTTTATCACAGTACAGTAATACAATCTTTCATAGACATATTCACGTTTAAACTCAATAAATATAACTTTGTTTAACTACCACCACGAGTGCCATCTATTATTGCCTTGTTTATCTAAAAGTGCACTTTTCCTTCTTTTAAATCTAGCCAAAAAGCCTTGTGTTGACTGTGAAACAGTAGACTTTAATTATATGCATTTATGGTGTAATTACTAAATTTCCGTGCCAATCCATGTTATTTTTTACTGCGAATAATGCACTGTCACTTTCAGCGCGTGCAGCACAGCAGAAATAGACTCTGTGCGGAAACGATTGCAGCATGACTGCTGCAGACGCACCGCTCCTGGAGATGCCGGAGCGCAATCGCGTGCATTGTGAACGCTCTGATCCGTTAACATGGGCGCAGAAAAAATACGCACCACAGACGAAGTGTGTGAACCTGGCGTTACTATGTTTGTATGCCCGCCCGGTCTGTTCTGTTCTCGTGCTCCATTTAGGCGCGCTGCATTCTGATTGGTGCGGATAGCATACTGCGGGAGGTCGGGGGTGCCGAAAAATCGTGCTATAAAGCGATTTAGAAATCGCGCAAGCTCAAATCGCGATTTTATGACGATTCCGATTAATCGCACAGCCCTAGTTTACATTCATAAAGACTGTTTCCTGAAATGGACATTGTTACTATTTCCTAATGATAGGATCATTTTGAAGACTATGGAAGTCTATGTTGTATCGTTAGTATTATCATAGGAATAAAAAGAAAACATTCTTCTTGCTTCTTCTTTGATTGGTCAGGCCAGTTTTGGGAAGGAAGCCATCATACCTCGAGAAGTTTCTGAGTCTGCAGCGCTGGCCATGCTGTCTGTCATGAGGTCGGGCATCCAAGCATCCATCAGAGCCGATTTGAAGATTTGCCGGCTGTCGAGATCCTGAGTGGGCCGATGGTTATTCCTCAGGTAATCCACGGACTTCACATGATCCTGCTGCTCTGTGGTGAAGATGGAGTAGAAAGCCTCCAGCTACAGAGGCAGAAAGACAAAGTACAACATTATCCACGAGTTTAATCATGATTTTCTTTTTCATTTCATCATTTTTAGGTTGTCTTTGCAAGGGAATGTATGAATTTATTTTCAATTTATTTTTAGGCAAAAAGGGTGTAGAAAGGAGAGAAGTGCGTGCTGGGCATGACTTTGTGGCTTTATTCTGTGTGATGCCGAATACAGCAGGTAGAAAAGTAAAAGATTGGAACGGATAAGTTCATCCATGTTAGCTGTGTACACACCCGGCGAGAAAAATATGATTTATTCAGAGTTAAGTTACCAATCAGTCATACATCAACATAAAAGTGTATCAATTATTATACTAAATTTGTATAGTGATTTTTTGGTTTTGGAGGCTTGCTAGGCCATAGATGTGGTTAAGAGGACTCTGCCAGTCATTTATCATTCACATAAACAAAACCTGATTGAAAAAAAGTCTGATTGTCTATAGAATAAATTGTGTATTATAATTCTGCATATTACTACTACTACTCTTACTAATTATTATCATTACTATCAACCTCAATATTATTTGCATTAATTAACAATTTTATGTAAATAAGTAAATAATGAAAATAATAATAATTATTATTATACATAATTAACATAATAATATATTATTAATGTTAATATTAATAATGCACTGTTGTTATTATTATTAGTACATTTTATATAATAATAATACTATTTAACAATATTTTATTTATTATTTATAAAGTATTATTTAAATGTGCATTATTAATTATTACATATAAATAAAAATAAATTAAAAAAACCTACCAAATTAAATAAATAAATAACACTAATACTGGATAATACTGATATGGTCACAGATATATTGTGCATCCCTAGAATAATTTTAGAAAGAGTATTAGTGGTGAAAATCAGCAGCACTTCATTGTATTCAATGTAATGATACTATATATCTACAACACATATATACATATACATGCATCAATTTGTTTAGTAAGTCATCTGCACCGTTTCATTTCCAGAAACATTTAAGCGCACAGCAGATGAGTCACATTGCTAGTGTAATATTGTCTGTTTGTGTGCTTGCTTGCAGATGGTACAAATATGATACAGGAGAATGAACGCAGACCAATTTCAAGCATAGTGCACACAGCTGGAGGTGATACATGATCATATGAATGTGAAGTGCATGTAGGCATGATTATGTGTGTGTGTGTGTGTGTGTGTTTGCCAACCTGGTGGTAGGACAGGTAAACAGGTCGACTGAAGATGATCCACTCCACGACTTTACTGCAGGGAGGAGTCGTGAGCGAGCCGGTGTAGCGGTAATAACTTTCCAAAGATGATGGCAGCAGATCCCTCAGTATGAATGGACCAAGGTTTGTTTCCTTCTCTGTTAAACAAAAGACACAGAATAAACACTCCAAGACTGAAGAAGATCTTATGAAGCCTGACTGAAGTACTATGAGGCAGCAAGATATGTAGCACAAGTTTTGGTGACATTTTATTATCTTATTGTTAGTTTTTCTGGTATTCTGGTATGCCCAGCTTTCTCTTTATTTCCAGACTGTAACTGGGTGGGCCAAGTTTCTGAACAATAGATGCGGCGATTGCATGTTAAACTTTTAGGACCTTGCATAGAGTTTTGATAAAATTTGCAATTACATTACTGTTGAAAAGTTTGGGGTCAGTAAAATAAAATAAAAAAATAATAATAATACTTTTAATAAGTAAAAATGCATGGAATTGCTCAGAAGTGACAGTCAAGGCCTTTATAAATGTTACAAAATATTGTCTTTCAAATCAATGCTGTTCTTCTGAACTTTCTATTCATCAAAAAATCCTGAAAAACGTATCATGGTTTCTACATACATATTAAGCAGCACAGCTGTTTTTAGCATTGATAATAGTAAGAAGTATTTCTTGAGCAGCAAATCAGCATATTAGAATGATTTCTAAAGGATCATATGATACTGAAGACTGGAGTAATGATGCAGAAAAAAAAATCACAGAAATAAATGACATTTTAAAATATATTAAAACTAGAAATCATATTTTAAATTGCAATAATATTTCATAATATTACTGTTTTTGCAGTCATTAAAAAAAAAAAAAACTAACCGACACGAACTTTTGAACAGTAGTGAATGTTTTCATAGTAGTTAAGTTTTATTAAAAAAAAAAAAAGACAATTCGAAATTCATATTTAGTTTCTCATTATGCGGATTCCATGTTTTTAATTCCAAAAGAGAACCTTTTGAAATTCGTGGTTCTTTTAGAAAACTGTCTATTTGCTTCCAAGAACCTAGAAAAGCTTCACTTTTCCTCTATTAGAACCAATATGTTGTATTGGTTCTATATATTGCTTAGCTATAAAGTGTAGCTATATTGCAACACTTTGACTTTTTAATCTCCAAAGAGCCATATAACCAACTGTATATTAGGGCTGCCCCCTAATAGTCGACTAACCATTAGTCGACCAGAAGAGGCTTGGTAGACCAACATTTTTTTTAGTCGCAGAAAAAAAAAATCCACAGGCGAAGTCACGCAGTTTGTGACGGACAGATCGTTAACAGCTAGTCTATGGTAATACAGTAGCTACATTGGGCAGGACATCCAAACGCTCACCTATCATTCATCCACCACAAATATGGCTTATCATCTGAAACATGTAAGTATTATCAACTTTACATGACCTCTCAATCTAATGTTAGGCTAACCTAGAAAAATGTGCGCTATTGAAGTGTCTGTGTGGAGTGTAGAAGCGCACTCACTGCGGGACAGATGGAGGCGCCGGTGCGCTCACTTGCTCTTTAAATACTCCGTAATTTCTGGTCATACAGATAAGAGCAATACATCTTTCGAATCTGTAAAGACTCTACGTTTATTTATGTGCACTCACAATATCAACAAAACATTGCGCTTTTGTAAAATAATGAAAGCAAACAGGATGCGCTTTCTGCCGTTGGGTCTCCGTGAACTTGAGCGCGAAACTCCGTGTATGCTTGCCTTGAAGAGAGTGAAATGTCTACTTTGAAATGAACCAAATCAAATGGAAAACCAATATTCTCGGATTATGTAATCCGTATGAAACATGCATACAGGCGCATCACTACTGCGGAGATGACGAGTTACGTCGACTTCATCTCTTAAACCGAAAACAAACAAAAAAACAGTAGTTTATCAATAAATTATTAAAATGTTAATGCAGCCTCCTTAACTGTTTTTCCCTGACACATTCATAATCATAGCTTCTGCGGTGCGCTGGGACAAGCTTTATGCATGTGCTTGAGCGCGTATTAGGCTATGTAGGCAATTAAAGGCTCATTATAATGATTTAAATTGTTTATTAATAAATGTGCGATTAGTCGACTAATGCTTAAAATGAACGACTACTAGTCGACCAGAAAAATCTTTAGTCGGGGGCAGCCCTACTGTATATACAGCAAAAAATGGTTCTTGGTAGAAAACATCTTTTGTGCTAAGGCTTAGATGCTCAGTTTTTATTATTTATTACATTTATTTATTTTTATTTCATTTTATTATAATTGAGCACTCTGAAAGCGGTTTATATGGCAACATTTACCGTGATGGACTACTCGTTTGAGACCTGTGATGATGGGCTCAGCTGCAATGTTGTCTTTCTTTGCCACCTAGAAAAAATACACAGAAAAATGTGGCATAAAATTAGCGATTATTCTGTTTTTCTATGTTAAAGAAATACAAAAAGGATGAACTGCATTTAAATCCTGCTGTTATCGAACATAAGTTTCCCATGTTCTCTGCTTATGCAACATTAAAAACTAGAGCACGCTGACATAAGCACCTTTTATTCAGGTTGATGGAGAAGCTCATTCAGGTCAGAGATGAAATATACTCACTCGTGCTCTCTGAGGATTCATTTGGTTGAACAAGGTGGCAATAAAAGAGCCCAAGGGAACCACCAATACAGGAGCTCCACATCGATTAACTATATAAAAACCCCAAGGAACGGACATGTCACACGCCACATGACACCATTTGTCTAAGCACTAATAGCGGTAAGCCATAACGCTGTCACAAGTGGGCGAAAGAGTTTAAGTCCACCGACGTAGGTTATTCTTTCAGCGTTTGACAATGGATAAACATAGGACACACCTGCGTTCCACTTTCAGCGTGAAGGATAGGCCTGTCAAATTAGTTAAGGTGTGTAAAACCTACTGTATGTGAGTGTGCAAAGCATGTTGTGAATGAAGGGGAATGAATGCGGTGCCGTGCTGCAAAAAAGCTTATGTTATTATCAAGGATCATCACGCTGACCTGTTAAGCCTGTTTTTCTCTATACATTCATATGACATCTCTGAATACTGAGGCTGTGCACCACAAATCTTCTTTTTTTGGCTTGAATCATTAAGAAAACCGTGGAAATTGTGCCATTTTCACCCTTGATAAGAACATTGGTCACAGTTGAAAAAGAAGGAAAAGTAAAAATAAACAAACAGGAGACAATGCTGGTAGGAGCGTAATGGTATGTTTTTGCTCTGTTATGTCACTTCACCTTCAACTCGTCCCTCAGTTTGTAAAAACGAACGAAAAATGTTGGCAGTGATGCAGTTACAGTGGAGGTCTATGAAGCAAGGCATTTCAAAAAGCAGAAATATTAAGCTTGCATTTGCATTTATGCACTTATATTTGGGTTAGTAAAGTATATATATATATATATATATATATATATATATATATA